ATCACTGCCAACCAGCTCGGGTTTATGAGGCTCTCGTGAATCATTATGTGGTTAACATGCTTGAGTAGTTCATTGTTTACCCTTAAGCTAGTAATCAGGACATCGCTTCAGAAGCCTTATCTTGCATTTGGAAGAATACATCTTAATCTCATACTTTTATATTGTTGCTCAGGCTGTTTAGATATCTCAGCATTTTATTACATGGTCTGTTTTCTGACTCACTAAGCATAATGGCACTTTTATACTAGGGATAGTGGATCCATTCTTCAGTTAATCCACTACTGCTCTAAAGTCTAGTAATTTTCTAAGTATTTTCATCTAGATTAAGTTTGTTGTCGAGAAATGAATTGCCTGTCTTATTATTATATTACTATTTGACAACATAGCAACGATAGATTTTAGATAACATTGTAATCAAGTATTTTTGATATAATAGAAGTATCCATTGTGGTTTTTTTTAACAATTTAGATTTGAAATTCTTTAAATATACTGAATTGTTCGATTCCACTGAAAATGAGATTCATTTACTTGAAAAGCTCTTTGAGACTGTTTTCTTTCATAAGTATTACTGCTGCTCTAGCTGTCGTCAATCAAGCTGAAATACATGTGAAAAGATATTTTAGAGTGATCTGTTTTTTCTTTTAAACGGTGAGTAATGAATACGCACATGTCTTCGTTACATTCATTGTTTCATATGCGTACTGAAATACAGAGTAGAATGCTGGTTGATATACTTGCTACTTGGTAAGCTAGTCGACATTTTGTTTTTACTGTCACAGTTGCAATAATGTAATGAGTTCATTTCTTTTTATCCACTCTTTTATCCACTGAAGCCATGTTTGGTGCGTGCTGGAATGCATTCCCGAAATCCTCGGATTTCCAATTATGCATAGTTGCCTTCCATAGGTATTGGATAGTTATATACAATCTACTGGTTACAGAATGTTTTATATATTAAGATGTCAAAATACCTACACAGTGAAGGTCAATAAAACTATAGTTATCTTAAGTGTGCCTTATATTCGGCTTCAGTAAGTCATTCACTTATGTGTAATATCTAAATATATTTTATGTTCAAGCTTATTTACCTGTACTTTAACATTACTTTTATTTAGGGCCGGAATTAGTTACCAGTTGCCGTCAGCAAGTTCAGAATCGTCTGTTTCTGGTCAAGGATCCAGCAGCTGCAGACCTTCAGATGTTAATCGCACGCAGTGCCCCATCTGTAGGTCTACGTACACAAATACCTCTACATCTTGGGAGTTGATTGGCATTCAGTCTCCAAAAAATCATAGATATCAAATCTCAGGTATTGTTTTTCGTTTAATCTCACGTACTGGTCGACCGTCAGATACATTTCCTGAAGTTGATGATAATGGTACTGATTCCAAAGAAGAAACATCTTTCACCGTTATTGGCCATAAACATAATCCAACAGAGAATGTTTAACTTGTCTATTAGTTTCATTGTAACACACTGTACAGTAACTTCAGATTACTACACACTTTACTCCTATCTTCAATAACACATTTCATCTGATTTTTTATGAGCACAGGTGTTTGAAATACTTAATCAAAGTTTTCCACTGAACGAAGAAATTATATAGTAACCACCAACCTTTTACCAAAGCCTTAAGAAAAGTATAAAACTTAATTAATACTTTTCATAATTTCCTGATCCTTATATTTATGACATTTGATATGTATGATTAAACTCTCCACTTATATTTGGATATATGTTTGTCCAATTTTGAATTCTAAGCAAGTAAAGTTGAGTCACTTATTTCCTCTGGTTAAATCTGAAAAATTCTTTTCCGTAAATTACCGACTCTAATACTAACCAAACGAAGTAAAAATTGACATCACGTGTTAGATTCATTATCAATAAATAAATGAAGTCATTCATTTAAATTAACATAAGTACCAAACGGAATCATACTCTGATTTCTAATCGTATAACACTATCGCCATTGTTAACTACCTTTTAAATATCCGGTTCTCGTATTAGGATTTCACCACTGTCAGTTTTTCAAATCTCACAGTGTGCGTCGTAAATTTGACCAAATATGTGGGATTATTTTTCCAGTCACTGATTAAATGAGAGAGATCTTAAAACTAGAAATGAAGATTTATACTAATTTATACAACATATCTTATGATAGATGCTTAGATGACGTGATAATTTCCTAAGAAAAATCTGTCTGAAGAATCATTGGTGAAAGTTGCATTACATATCACATGATACGTGTGGTTTAAATCAACTACGTAGAACGAAACGACTAACAAATATTTCTCTGTCTTCTGTCAATATAAATTAGTTTTGTGTTGGTTGACAAAAACTATCTTTGAAGACTGAGTTTAAGTCATAAGATTGATAGTCTGTAGTATAATGACATATATGAACTATTATAAGTTGCTTCTCACGGACATCATATGAATATATTAGTATTAGTCCCTTTTGATTGATGCTTAATACGTTTAGTTTGAATCTCTTGTTTACTCAGTGTTATTATTTAGTTTAGTGGTGGATTGTTCAGCTTAAAGATTAATTTTAATTATTTAAACGGGTGTAAAAAGTAAGAGTATAAAATGGTGTCTTCGTTTGGAACTTGAATTTGACTTACTTGTGATGAGATCTAAGTATCCTGAGCTCGACCTTATGTACGAGTGACTGTAAGGGTTTTCTACTTTTGATATCAATCTGTGATAAAAACTGACTTTCTATTGGATCTTAGTCATTTTTTTCTATGTTTCTTTCTTGAGTCCAACTTTTATTGTGAAATTAGTTTCTTCAATTTCTCATATTATTATTTGTATTGACTATTTCGAAAATTCTATTTTCATTTCTTCAACACGATTGTACACACTTGATTGATTTATCAAAAAACTTTCATCTAACCAATTTAATTTATTGAATCATATGTTAATGTATCCATTTTTCGCATGAATAGTAGAAAAGTAATACCATGTGGTATTAATGACCTTCAAATTACTTTGAAAAACAAACACATTTTATGTTAAACCTCAATTGTTTTCATTTTTAATTAAAATAAATCTGTTCAAAAGAATTCAATAAGTTAAAATTCACATATTTCGTGAAGCATGTAAGTTTAAAAACGGAAAAGGCTTCGAAAAATGACATTTAAACCTGTTTAACAACAGTAAATTTTAGGAACAGTTATTTAGATCACTTATTTGACACAGTTTGTCCCATCTATAAATTTGAATAAAGAAAGAACAGTGATCGTAGAAGAATGATGTGGATCCAATTATTTCATAGATTCTCTTCAGCTACATACCATCTAAAATAGTACTAATTATTATGTAATATTTAAAGTTACTATTCTTTGAACATTCAGTCGATTGATCATTTAGGCTAACCCACATGTTGAGTTCAAGGTTGGTCATCGAGTCTGTACAAGCTTAATAAGATTTTCTCGTCTTCAACTCTTTAAAAGATCAAAAGTTTCAGCTTTCCATGGAAAGAAGCTTGAATACTAGATACAAAATAAGTATGTTTTATGTCAATATTTATCGTGGTATTGAACTATTATCATTGTTTTATTTTCTCTTCATACATTTCGTATTTGAAAATGTGGCCTTTCCATTATTTCGTTTTTTACATTCCCATAACTCAGTTGTTTTTGGTATCATTTAAATTAAATTTCCAAATAAAATTACAAAAATGTGACGTTTACCAAGTGATTTGGTTATCTAGCATCCCCAACATCTAAGCCACCATTGAAAACAAGAAGCACTAGACATCTATTTCATCCTAGTATGAGACTACCTAATGCACATCCTCAACCCCTCTGCAAAGGATAAAACCCGGGATATTTGGTCTCGTATGCAAACGCTTAATCTCTTGACCACAGACAGAATGTAGCGCTGTACATGCCTAGCTTTCATCAATTCGCGATATTGTAATACCACTTTCCATAGTCTGGGGTAGATAACCGTTTCACACGCAACTTGGCTGAAGTCTCCTAGTCACACCGTGCTACCAAAGATAATCTTGCAGTACTGCGAAGTGATTGAAGTTAGAAATGTTCACCATCAAATGCTGCAGTTGTGGACTAAAAATTAGACTTTCGCACACTAGACCACCTGGGTTCTAGGATGAAGGAATTGTTTTACGCTTCCTGGTTTTCAATGGTAGTCTAGCTAACATTGGTTGGTGATTTAAACTACAATATTAGATTGTTTTCATGACGTAATCATCTACATTAACTGGTTGTATCTCACGAAATTAAGTTAGAAAATTATATACATACATAATAGTAGATTCGTCTAAATGTGATACTTTTCTGAATATAGTGTCTTCACTTGTGTAATGGAAATTAGCTAGGTACTTGATTTATCATCAACAAACTATGGTTTAAGGAATGAACTAATTCTTATAGCAGACTATAACGTACATGTGTTGTTCAAATGGAAACGTAAGAGAATTTCAGATTTACGTTACTCAGTTTTTAAAAATCATGTCCTAAATCTTAAAAATAAATAGCTGTTTATTTCTTTTTATTTTATTGAAAAAAACCTTTCAAAACTATTCGAATTTTCACTAGAAAGCAACCCATGATTTTGCTATAACCATTTAGTTCACACTATCTTTCTAAAAACAAGGACTTTTATGTTGTGGATGGAATCTTGTCTTAAAGTTAATAATTTCCTGTCATTCAGACACCGTTTTATGCGGAACAAACAATTTTAAATGCCACCCGATTTATTAACTGAAATCGTAAAAAGAATCTTCTCAATAGATTGTAAGAAAATAATAGATTATTTAGGTTTACATATAAAACAAGAAAACTGAAACTGAGTCTTCAGTACAGACGTCATCAAAGACTCACTGAGCTCGTGAATATATATCAACGATACTTATTGTTCAAAGGTACATAAATGAAATCTTGATATGTTTATGGTAAAAACATTGTGTTTGAAAGTTTATTCAGTTAATCATTCCTACTATTTTATATCAAATACACAAATGAACATGATAGGATATTGACTCATTGGAATTGTTTTATTCAATTTTATAACTGACAGATATAACATATATTAAACCTCATAAAATCTCGTTTTAAAAACAATGGAAAATTTTTATTGTATAACTAAAACTATGAAAAATGATAATAAAAGGGTATATACTTTTTTTTACAAATACAAAGATTTCTACATACAGAATTGAAATAAATTTAAGAGTATGTTTTTCACTATTGTGTAACATATCAGATGCCAAAATATGATTCTGTAAATTAGAATCTGAACATCGAAAGAAATTATAATATATAGGGAAATCGGCATAAAAATTTATAAACAAAGCCGACAAAAAATGGAATTGTTTATATCATAATTAAATACATTGATAGATTGTAGATGTAAAGAAAAGAAATTTATGCAATAAAATTTTACAGAAAATTCTTTCAACCTGAAAATTTATAGTAAATACATTTTCCTTTTTCAATCAAATAATACAAATAATATCGAAATATAAGTTATAATTATTATGATTATTCAATGTACATACTGATTATATTTTCTTTTCGGATCTATGTATAATGAGTATTATTAAATTATATTTATTTGCTAAGCAAATGAATGTATAAAACGTTGACCATTTCTGCCTGTACGAAGAGCAAAGTATATTCCTGCGGCAAATATTATTATGATTAGGATTGTTCCAATAACAATTAGCGCTATTACAGTTGGACTTACTGAAAAGAAAAAAAGAATTATTGAAATAAAACAATGGTGTTGAAACACATCTTGTTGAATAAATCAACTAGTAAATATGCCAACAATGTTTCTAGATTATTAGATCCCTTCTAAAAATAGGTTTATCAGGGATTTACTATTATTTTTGTTACAAATATTGCACAAAGGGATTTTTTAAGTTATGTTTTGTTTCTACTCAATGCAGTTCTAATGAGCTGATAAGTGTTAAGATATTTGCTAACTATTATAAGTAGAGTTGAATGGTGGTTATCAGTGGGAACCAGGATGCATTTCTCGTTATATTTGGGACTCAGCTGGATATACCTGCTGATCATTACAGTCCTAAATTATCTTGAATTTAGTTGTGAGACTTTACTGAGTAATTTTTTACGGGGATTATTGATATTATCGGTGATTATTATAAATTTAGGATACAGTTAAACGAACATCTAGTACTTCATTAAATAGATGTTTGGGGTGAGTTGTAATTTAAATTCAGGTTTTGTAGATCAATAACCTGTTTCGTATATAACGGTAATTTTGTTCACTACTTATAAATATACAGAAACATTCCTCTAGCCAACCATGGATTAGAAATATAGTTATCTGAATTCAGTATATCAATATTACCGAAAAATCCAGCTAGTAAGAAATGAAAAGTGAAGTGATACCCGAAACAAATGTACTTATATAACAGTTTTTCATGTTGGTAACTTCTTTATCAATTTAGAATACACATGATACCCAGCCAACAGAATTTTCGAGAGGACATGTATACTTAGTGTGACATTAGTTAAAGAAAATACTGATTTTGAGATGAACTTCAACAAAAGTTGAGAAGAGTCTTTAGATTGTAGATGGTTAATTTTATATATATACTAACTTGCAAATATATCTTGGAACTTCTTCATTCCTGACCTCTGGTTCGACTGGGTTTGGGATTCTTGATGATAAGATCGTTGCAGATAGAAGCATTGACAAACCCTAAATGTCCGTGACACCTTTACACATGTTACTCCAGTCACATACTTTAGAAAAAACCTATTCGTATCGTGATCGACCTTTTGCAAAGTCAGTATGTTTACATTGCTTGGTCATCGATTGTTTACTAATGTGTGATTAATGAGTCATAATTGTCGGCCGGATTTGGATGGACAATTTACTATGTTGCTACAAGAATAAGCATTTTGACTTTTCGATTTACTGTATCTCATATTAGGTAATTAAAATCAAGTACAAGAAAACTTGATTGATGTAATTTTTTTAATACTGAAGACTAAAACACGTACTGTCATTGACTACTTATAAATCATTTAGCGTAAGCAGTGTTATATTCAGATATTTTACTTCGCAGTTATGAATTTTAAGTGATGCTAATTGTCACCATAGTTTTTTTGGAGGAAGAGGGTAAGGTTATGCATTACGTGACTAAACGTACTTATACACTGTTCTCCGGGCTGTTGCATGTTTAAATCTATCCACATTGGATTACATACACAAACGGCACCGTCAGACCTCTCGATGCATTGAGCATGCGGTGAACATTTTGATGCGATCGTACTACAAGTTTCTTTTTGCATAATTACTAAACAGATTAATGAAGAACAGTGGATTGATATTAGTTAATAAAGATGGTTAACAAGTTACACAATATATAAGAATTATATATTTCATGCACACGTATATTGTACAAACTTTGCAGGTAGCGTGTGTTATGTGAATTGGTGTATTGATCATTCGTGCTGCTGTGTGTATTGACTTGAGTTGCCGACTCAGTTTTAATGATCATACATAGTACAACAAATAGGTAAGTACTCCAGACATATTACAAAAATATACATGAATAAATGTTAGTAATCAATCGGTGAGACTATAATTTATGAACGACCTGTGCGAGACACTAAAGTGACCTTCAGAATGTCCACCTACTAACTAGAACCAAATGATGGTTATAAATCAGTGTGAGGAATTAGAATTTTGATTTAAAGTTGATGGTTACGGTTAGAAATTATATTCAAGGTTTCCCATCATGAACTGATAAGACACTATTTAGCTAAATGGATGAATAAATTTCGCACCAAAATCCAAAAACTGATATCCTAATTCTGATTTGTTCATCCCAAAATTATAGTCGCGCCAATTAGTCATATCAAAATAATTAAGGGGACTGAAAAAGACACTTAATTGCATTAGGAGTGCACATATCGTACGACTGAGAAATAACTAAGTATATTGGAGCACCACTGAAAATATGGAAGCACTGAATGGCCACATCATCATAGTATGGGACTTCTTAGCAGTGCGCATCCACGACCCCGCACGCGGGATTAGAACGCAGGACTTTCGGTCTCGCGTGTGAACGCTTAATCTCTATACCACCAAGCCATCATCCAACAGTGTTACTGTCTAGCTTCAACCAATCGAACCTCGCATGAGAGATCATGGATGAGCATTTCCTAGTAGTCCCATATTATATTACAATATTTAATGCTATGATAGTTAGTGTTCATGAAAATGAACATAGGATGGAAACTGACGAATTTCCAATTTTCACGTATATGAATTCTCTAGTAGTTAATTATTAGCATTTCAATAGTCCTTTTATATGTATAGAAGAGAACAATAAACTACAAGGTTTATACCGAATAATCTATTTACATATCTAAGTTGAGTCTTCACACTTATTACTGAAGATGTTAGTTTTTTTATAAAATAAGCAGACATTATTCTTCCCTAATTAGTTCCTGGTCCCCCAAATGCCCTAGTACGGCCGACAGTGGGGATAGCTCTCCCTCTCGAAATGCTCTCAAGCTGCATCGTGCATACAACCACTGCCAGGGGAGTCCTACTCACTGTCTTCTCGTGGCGGAGACGAAAAGCGAATGTTCGGCGCTTTAACCGAGTTGGTGGATATGAAGGATCCACCTAGGGGAGTTGGAAAACCCTAATTCCAAACCAATAGTGTACATGGGCTCCAGGATCTTAAGAAAAAAGGCGTATGGACCAGTTATTGGTCACCAGCTACCATGAGATTGCATCCCCTTACGTTGCTTCACTGCCTTGTGGATTAGACCTTCAGGTCGAAGGCTCGGGTTGTGGCTCCCTAAGAAAACCACCTGCTTCTGTTTGGGCACCTGGGCAACAGTTCAGCCCTCACAAAAATGGAATGATTTATGTGGCGCATATGTGTTTGGTGTCTCCTAGTACCAATGTTTATGTTTTAATAAATAAATAAAATATAAATACATTTAAAAGTTTTCTTATAAAATGTAATACTTTTAAAGTGTTCATAAGGATAAAAGTAATATTTCTTCAAGTCTTAGTAATATTATTATTAGATCTATTCTTGATCACTTCGATGGATATACAAGCAATTAAAATCACACAGCATTTGACAATTATTTCATCTTGCTACAAAACTTTTCAAAAATCCCCAACTATAACACCTTACAGGAATAAATTTAAATCCTTGGAGTTTGAAATAAACAAAATACTAATGAGTTGCATAATTGATATTTAAGGGAAATGATGACTTTTCGTTTTATTTGCTTGAATACGTAAACTTTTAGGAGAAACGATAATCTTTTTACGTAAAACACTAATATCTGTATGTGCTTTCTTCAGAATTGCTACATTTCCAACTGGAAGTGATGAAGCACAAAACTAATACATATTATGCTACATACATTAATTTCATCAAGGGAAGAAAAATAATGTTGAAAACAGATGTATCTCGTAGCGGGAGTGTTTAGAGGACAAAAAACGAATGTCCGGTGCTTTAACGGAGTTGGTGGATACGGTGGATATATATATATATATATATCAGTATTTTCTATACATAATGAATTTTTAACGATATAAACATACACTTAAGTGATATTATACGATTGGAATCGATTGACTGATTTTTTAACAGATCTATTACATATAATTGCGAACCCAACTGAATTGCTTGCAGAATTTGTGTTTGAGTCACATTGAGGTCATTTATGTATTCTACAATTATCTGTACATCAGATTTCACAGAACCCGGATAAAAACGAAGAACAGTACAAGTACGTACGGTGTATTGTATTGATGTAATATATCGAGGGCTGGCTTTTATCTGCAAAGAAATATTAGATGAAAGCATAATAAATCAAATTTATGGAGATTCATGTGATATGTTGAGTTGAAATAAATTCTTTTATGAATGTACGTCAAAGACGAATTTACAAGTAGAAGCATACAGTAAATATTTAATGTCTGTTGCTTAATATAATAATAATGGTAATAAAATCTATGTATCCTATTTTTCTTCATATACATTCTGTCGACAAATCATGTTAATAACAGATTACACATAAAAATTTGAATATAAAAGTATTTGAAGTATGTATGTTTTAGACAATCTGATATTGTATACCATTTTGGTAAGTCGAGAATTAAAAGTACGATCAAGATATTATGTGTCGATCACAATGTTTAATTGTAAAATCAATAGTTACTGAAATGATATTTGCCAACTGAATCTGCTAGAGAGATTGTGGTCTCCAGATCCGTGTACTCGTGAGGTGAAGAAGAAAAAGAAGGAGAATGCTATTAAGATGAACCTGGTTCTTATTGAATTTGTCATCTATGGATTTTGCATAAATATATCCATCATTAATGCATGAAAATCATTACAAATAAAATACAATAAGTTAGTCATTGAAGAGAATTTATTGATTATGTAGACATTTTCGGCTCGCTTAACATTATGTTGTTAATTTAGCTCCACTGTCATCGTTAGCAACTAAAATATATTCGTAACCGCTTACGTTATGTGAAACCCCTGTTATATATATATATATATATATATATATATATATATATATATATATATATATATAATAGTAATTTTGGGCGTAAAGTAAACTGTTTATGTTCCTGAAATTTTCGAAATCAACATACAATTTGGTTGTTAGTGATAGTTTCATGTGTTTAGTGTAAAGTTACTTTGGCCCTGTAATAAATTTATATTTTTATTTTATTTCTGTAACAAATTCAAATATATATCAGTAAAAAAACTGAATTCATTCGTTTCCAAAAGTCTTGTGAATATGAAAAGAAAAAGAAAATGGTTATTGTACCAAAGAATATCATGATCCCTTGCTTTTGAAAATAACTGTGTAGACCATTCAACACTCATTTTTAGAGTCTCATATACATTGACCTTCATAGTGGAGGATTGTCAAGCAATATTGGAAACAAACTCAATAAAAATGTTGGATTTTAAACCACTTCAATAAGTAGGCTTATTACATTCTTTATAAACTATATTTATGTTTTCACTGTTTATATTGATTGTGAATTCGTATTGTAAACTACTTGGCTCTTAATAACAATGTTAACAGGTGAAACTGGATAAGGTGTTAATTTTTCTTAAAATTCAACGAATACATTCCTAACTTTATTTAAACCAAAACAGGCCTTTTTTTTATAAATCATGAGAACAGCATATTTGCATCTTGATTATAAGTATGTAATTTATTAGGATGTAAGAATGGTCTTTTGGCCTCACAAAAGACCAGTCAAACATTCAGTTCTAAAATAGACGAACATAAAATAAAATGACATGATTGCATACCGAAGCACAGGTGTTTTCAGCAGTACTGTTGTAAAGTTCAGAAAATTTGTTAGACAGTTCGGAATTCCAATTTGTTTGTTGATTTCCTATTAAAACCTCCACTGTCATTGATAGTTCTAGTATATCTAAAATGATATTGATCACACTTTAAGATGTATAATTAAATCTAATGCAGTAAAACTGAGGATGTATAATTTATTTTAAAATTTATCTTCAGGTTAATCGGTGTTTGCAGGCATTAAAACGAGTGTATTCTTAAGAAACTTATTAAACATTCTTAACATTTTTAGAAAAAAACTGGATGTTATATTTATAATTCAAGATCAGTTGTAGCAATTAAACAACTTAAATGTTTATATTAATACTGGTTTAAGTTGATAAGATTGTTTAATGTAAGTTAAAGCATAGATTGTAATAATTGTTTGTTTTAAAAAACGGTTAATATTATTTTCATAAATCACAGCTTAAACCTTTATGTTAGACAACAATTTGAATGTTAAAATTATCTTAATCTCTTCTTACATAGATGATACATTTTGAAGAAACATTCATTGAAGATGTTGGTTCATGAAGTAGGTAATATATCAGTAAAATTCCTGGATAAAGTTTTAGATCTATCACCCGGTACTAAACACTGTGATCTATTTAGTATCCTGTAATACTAAATGAACACCTTTAGTAAACCTATGGGGAAATGTTATTAACAAGAGTGAAATAGTCAGATAATAGAAGCTTGATGTGCTATCGATTGAATAAGATAAAAGTCATCGATAAATTATAAAACACCACAAAAGTTTTGAATAATTTACAATTAACTGGTCTCTTCGTAACACAATCTTAGTTTTGGACAGATATCTAATCTAAGCCTATTATTTTATAATTTATCAACTAAATAAACCACTTGAGATCATTCGACTCAACCATTCTTTTCATAAAACCTTTCTCATTCTCTTTTCAACTTCTTAAAGAGTAAGGAATCTTGGTAATAGACTCTCAGGGAATTCCCGTCACTTGGATGAAAAATGGCTGAGTAGAACTTATGACCACAATTGATACTAATGAAAATATCTGCTGACCAATTGTATGCAAATGGTTAAGAGTTGTGGGAAATAATCATAATATTATGAGGTGAATATGAAATCTGATTCTATTTGACTGATAGTGTTATAGTTTTTGCTTAGTTTAGTAATATAACTTGATTAAATGAATATTGTGAAATGATAAGGACGTAAATAAGAAATCATCATTTTAAATTTCGACATTAATCTGTCAGTACAAGACTAATTAAAAGTTTTGACATACACTTAATATTTAAAGTATAAACAAGGAAGAAAAAAAACAGCAACTCACTTTTCGTACTGAAAGTCGTTTTGCTTAATTCAGTTGTCTCTGAAAAACAATATGAATACATATTTTACAATAATAATAAATCATGATAATTTGAACATAGTCAATATAATTTTTGTAAAGGATTTTATTTAATGTACTGATATAGAAATTACTTAAATACTATTGTAGTAAGCCTAATCAACTACTTTATTATTTGTCTACTCGCTGTAATTTAGACATTTAATCCACTATATAAAATTTTGTGTAAGTCTGAATGAGAAAATGTCTGGTCGTCAATCTTGATCTATTCTCTCATTGGTTGTAAACGAAGACAATGAATAATTTATTCGCAATCGATTAACATTCAACAATAAATGTGGACTTTTACCACTTATTTGTTTCCCTGTGTACTTGCTTTCTGCACGCTTGCGGATTTTACTACACCTTAACAATAAACCAACTCTACAATTAGTGTTGAAGGACATCTCATCAAGATAACAAAGAAAGGAGGACACAGCAAATGTGAGAACTGAAGAAGCATCACTCTTCACTCAAAACCAGGAAAAGTATTCAACAGGGTATTCCTAAACAGAATGAAGGACTTCACAAACGTCAAATTATCTTTCGCACCTGTAGTGGCTGTGCTTCGATAATTAATCACCCTCGAACCGTTGTCGTATAATCTTCAACGATGTTTGAAATCAGAAGGCAAAAAGAAGCAGCTACTACAGTTTATTTAGTAGATAATTCGGACCAGACAGCAGAGAGGCAAAATGAATGAGCAAGCGAACTACGATCGTAGCAGTAGCAAGTAGTTATAGTTGTTGTAGTAGTAGTGAATGGGTGCAAATGTACACATATATATATATATATATATGTATAGGAAAATGGATGAGTCAGCGAATAGACTAAGCAGTTAATAATGAAGCTAGCAGAATGAATACATGCGTAGGCGCTAAACAATGTTCAAGCATATGTATTTCATACAAGCATAAGAATAAAGATAGTACAACAAGTTGTTATATCATGGATGACTTTGTCCATTAAATAGGTCAACAAAAGACATTGACTGAACTAAACTCAATTGCACGTGAGTCGCTATAATAGCTCCCCCCTGCAAACAAAGATATATGGAAAAATGTCTGTGTTTGCACAAAAAATAGTAAACTGAGTAGGGTAGTTACAGTCGTTTAAAAAAAATGGTTTGTACAAAATTAAGATGAAGTTAGTGTGTGCTGTACATTTGGTTTGTGCCCGTCCGTGAGGTTATATAAAATAATAGCAATAAATAGAAGGAATGCGGTATTGCTTTACATTTTAAATAAAAATTATACGTGTAAGTGTAGGGGTACATAAGATATGTTGAGTTTTATAGCGTATAACATGAAATTAGTAATGCATGTGTATACAATGAAGTGGAAGTTATAATTAATATTTAAAGTAGTAGAAAATTATTAATAGAAGATTGCAGCGACAGAACGTTGGGGCCATCTTACTCTTCGACCAGACTTTGTGGTTACTGGATTCTCTTTGTTTGTGTTCGTCGATGTCGTTGATGATTGGAACTGACGTTTCGATGATTCAACGGTTTTCGCAGTATCTGTATGTACTGGCTGATCGCAGGCTTCGATGAAAGCTGGTTTGACTCGGTCGATGCTAATTACATCCGTTTTTCCAGCTTTGTTTACCGTAATAGTTTTGTCGTCTCTTTTAATCACCTTAAATGGACCATCGTAGGCCGGTTGTAAGGGACGTTGCACATTATCCCTTCTTATAAACACATGGGTACTGTCACTTAGTTGTTTGGGTATGTACACACGGCGTTGATGTTGTCTCGGAAGCGTTATCCTTAGACTACTCATATGCTGCTTAAGACGCTGTACATAGTCCGCTATATCAGTTGGGACGCTTTTACCTGCGGTGAAAAACTCTCCTGGCAGACGTAGTGTGGTTCCATAAACCAACTCTGCTGGGCAGCATTCTATATCTTGTTTGATTGTTGATCTTAAGCTCAACATGACTAACGGTAGCTTGCTGGCCCAATCGTTATTGCTGATGACAGCTGTAAGAGAAGCTTTAAGTTGTCGGTGTAATCTCTCTACCATACCATTCGACATCGGATGGTAGGATGTTGTGCGAATTCGCTTGATTCCGAGGAGTTCTGTGAGTTGTTGGAAGAGGCGACTCTCGAATTGAGCTCCTCTATCGGTTGTAATATTAGTAGGTACGCCATAATGGGAAATCCAATGCTCTACTAGGGTTTTTGCGATAGTTTCGGCTGTAATATCTTTTATGGGCACAGCTACAGGCCATCGTGTGAATCTATCAATGCAAGTGAAAATGTAACTGAAACCATTCGAAACCGGCAGTGGTCCTATAATATCGATATGTACGTGCTCGAATCTGCTGTCGGGATGACGGAAATGACCTACTGCGGAACTGGTGTGGCAATGTATCTTAACTCTCTGGCATTTTATACACGCTTGCGTCCAATTACGAATATCCCGATTCATACTTGGCCATACAAAACGTTCGCTGATTAGTTTGATGGTGGCCTTTATTCCGGGATGCGAAATATTATGCATAGCTTCGAAAATGTTTCGCCTTAGCGGCTTTGGAATAAATGGTCTTGGTTGACCTGTAGAAATATCGCAGGTGATGCTTACTTCTTCCAATGGAGTTTCTTTGAGAACTAACGAGGTTATATTGGCAGACTTTAGTCTGTTTAACTCGACGTCGATATTTTGTAATGCTGCTAACTTGTGATAATCGATTTCAGACTGGATGAGAGCATTGACCATCGTTCTGGATAACGCGTCTGCCACTTCGTTACTATTGCCTTTGACATACTGTATGTTAGACGTGAATTGGGAAATAAATTCTAATTGTCGGATTTCCCTCGGCGAGTAGTTGTCCTGTTTGGCGTTCAATGCTTTTGTGAGGGGTTTATGGTCTGTATATATTGTGAAAATGGTACCCTCAATCATATGTCGGAAATGTTTTATTGCCAAGTAAATCGCTAGGAGTTCTCTTCCGAAAGTACTATATCTTGTTTGTGTCGGATTCAGTCTTTTCGAAAAAAATGAGAGCGGTTCCCATATGCCATTTACTAATTGTTGTAAAACGGCTCCTACCGCTACGTCTGATAGATCCGTCATGATAGCTAACGGTGTTTCGCTCTTTCGTCTAGTTAGTGTCACTTCTTTATTTAGTGCTTTTTTAGCGCTCTCGAATGCTTGAATTGCGTCTGGTGATAATTGGAATGTCCGTGCGTTTCCGCGTAATGCATCTGTTAGTGGTTGCAATATTGACGCGCAATTCGGGATAAATCGTCTGTAATAATTTATTAACCCGAGAAATCGGCGTAACTTTTTCCATGAGTCGGGTAGGGGATAATTCCTAATGGCGTCGACTTCTGTTGCTATTGGTATGATGCCTTGAGAAGTTATATTGTGACCTAGGAGCTGTAAAGATTCTTTTCCGAATTCACACTTCTCAATATTTATAGAAATACCATGTTCTCTGAGTCGTATAAATAATTGCCGTAGTTGTTGTATATGCTCATCTTTAGTGGTGCTAGCTACTAATAAATCGTCGATATACGCGTATACCCCAGGTAAACCTCTAATGACCTGGTCGATAAACCGTTGAAAGGTTTGTGCCGCGTTAGTCAGTCCAAAAGGCATACGCAGGAATTAATATAGCCCAAATGGGGTTGTTACTGCTGTCTTCGGTATGTCTTGTGGGGCAACAGGGATGTGGTAGTATGCTCTGACTAAGTCGATCTTCGAGAAGATAGTAGTGCCCTCTATACTGTAGGTGAAATCATAGATGTGCGGTATAGGGTATCTGTCAGCTACTGTTTGTTTGTTCAGTGCTCTGTAATCTCCACATGGCCTAACCTCTCCATTCTTTTTCGGGGCCATATGTAGCGGGGATGCCCACGGGCTGCTCGATGGCCTTATAATGCCTAGCCTCATTAGCTTGTCGAATTCCTGTTTTGCGATGGCTAGTCTTTTGGGATCTAACCTTCTTGGTCTTGCATTGATTGGTGGACCATTCGTTACGATGTGATGCTGAATAGAATGTTTGAGATCCGCTTTATTGTATGTTACTTTTACGAGTTCAGGGAACTCCCTTAACAACAATTTATATGGATCACCACGACTTTTATCTATCACAAGGTTCATTGAAACGGCTTCCGTAAGTATTCCTCTTATCGAAGTGGTTTGACTGCCGTTTATAAGTCTGTGTCGTCTAGAGTCTACTAGCAGGTCAAAGTTACATAAGAAATCTATGCCTATTATGGGCATCGATACGTCTGGTATGACAAAGTTCCAGCGGTATGAAGCGCCACGTCCAAAATCTAGGGACAATTTCCGTTTACCATATGTCTTAATATCTGATTTGTTTGCTGCTCTTAGCACTAATGACGGATTAATGTTTTTTCTTTCCTCGTTAAATGGAGGTACTACGCTAATTTCCGCTCCAGTGTCAACTAAGAATTGTGCGCCAGTGGTTCGGTCTTGTATATAAAACAAGCGACTATTTTCAGGCATTATGTGTGTTGATGCCGGTGCCATTGATACTCGTGAGTATCGGTTACTAGCCCTGTTAAATCTACAAGGTTGTAAGCACTTTCTAGCCCTGTAGCCGAACATTTGATGATACCAACATATCGCGGGAGTTGTGCGTCGTCTAGAAGTTGACCGGGTCCTTTCACGCGAGCGATCTCGCGATGACCTTCGTGGCTTTTCTCTCTGCGTTAATTCTGTGAGTTTGCGGCATAAAACATTTATTTCCTTCTGTACAGTATCAAGTCTATCGTCTACCGTCACGCTGTGTAGTGGAGGGCTTGCTTGCTTGCTTCTTTCGTATATTCTATCGGCTATCTTTGCTATATTGTCTAAATCAGCATCCGTATCTCCCACAGCTAGGATCTGCTGTATATTTGCCGGGAGTCGGCGGAGCCACAGTTGATAAAATAGATTATTGTCAATGTGTCTGTCGCTAAGTAGACTTTTCATATAATTTTTTAGTTGTGATGGGGTTCTATCTCCAATTTGTACTTGGCTAAGGAGTTGTTCGACGGCTTGTTGGTCACTGAGAGAGAGAGTTTTAATTACTGCCTCTTTTAGCACGTCGTATGGTTTTTCTGTGTCTGGTTTTGCTAGTGCCTCTCGAACGCTGTCAGCTACTTCGTCTGGGAGTAGTGTGCTTGTCAGGCCGAACTTATCCTTTTGCAAAAGAATGCGGTTAGCGAGAAAATAATTTTCAAGTCTTATAAACCAAAGTTTTGGGTCTCTGATTTTAAAAGAAGGGGCAGGGAGGTTAAGAGACCTCACGGACGAGGCTTGCTGTACGCTTGAAACTGTGTTTTCATAAGACATACTTATAAAAATTAAGTAGCACACGAAAATAACTTAACAGTCACAAGGAAGAATAGACGGGCAAAAACAATGATAATAAAAAAATGGCACAATTTATAAAATAGAACAGACTTATTAAATTGCACCAATATATCAATTGTTTATGGATAATTGTTATTTATTATGATTATAATTGTCACGTTTAATAATGTTTGCGAAATAATGTAAGTGTAATTAGAATAATAATATAAATCCACAGTTGCAATTATAGTTCATTTGATAATCCAAATTGAGATGAAGGTAGTCGGATTTTTGGAATTTGATTATTTCGCCAAAATTCGCTTCCCGTTCTCACGTCGGGATTACCAATTCTGTAGTGGCTGTGCTTCGATAATTAATCACCCTCGAACCGTTGTCGTATAATCTTCAACGATGTTTGAAATCAGAAGGCAAAAAGAAGCAGCTACTACAGTTTATTTAGTAGATAATTCGGACCAGACAGCAGAGAGGCAAAATGAATGAGCAAGCGAACTACGATCGTAGCAGTAGCAAGTAGTTATAGTTGTTGTAGTAGTAGTGAATGGGTGCAAATGTACACATATATATATATATATGTATAGGAAAATGGATGAGTCAGCGAATAGACTAAGCAGTTAATAATGAAGCTAGCAGAATGAATACATGCGTAGGCGCTAAACAATGTTCAAGCATATGTATTTCATACAAGCATAAGAATAAAGATAGTACAACAAGTTGTTATATCATGGATGACTTTGTCCATTAAATAGGTCAACAAAAGACATTGACTGAACTAAACTCAATTGCACATGAGTCGCTATACACCAATCCACCACATGCTCACAGACCACACAAAACTCACACAGTGTGTGAGGTGACTGACATGTCACAAGAAGATGCGACCACCAGCAACATTCATTCAGTCATCGTCTCAATCCAATCACTTAATCAAACAACATGCACATATCATCTAGTGCTCACATCCACTTTGCTCATCCAGTACACTCATTCAACTCACGCAAACACACACACACCAGTAGGGGTCTCAGCTACAATGGACGAAATCCAACACCAAAAATTCAATATAGCTTGAAAATATCACATACACTCACTTTCTACTGTCAAGCCACTTGATGTATCGAAGTACATTTGCTCCGAATCGTTGGCAACCATTTCTGCTATGTATGCCACAACAGCATTTCGAACAGTGTCTTTTGTCACTTCAGTCGATGAGAAATTCCCACTTGTGCTACTATGGTCGATGACTAATACTGCATTTCCAACAACTAATCCACGCGAGAAGCCAACAACTGTGCAATTGACATTGATTATTCCCTCAATATAAGTTGAATATATGCTGTCCAAAAGCTTGAAGATTTTGTGAGAAGAAAATCGTGCGTGTTATAACGGGATGAATATTGTAAAAGTTGGAAATTTGGAAAATGGTTTTCGAATCGTTATCATGAATATTGTTATTGCTATCAACTATGTTTTTCTTATATAATTACTAAGCAACTGGATTACTGTGTCTATATAATACGTTAACCACAAGCTTTTGGTTAACCCGTTAACCACTGATAGACAACTCTCCACTCCCAGATTTTTGCCAGTCTACTACTTACGGCTTGCATTATTCACAAACACTTTCGGCTTGTCTATGTATGCTTGTGATTTTTCACTCAGTGGTGCGATGTGGTCCAGCACGACTGTGTATGAGTCCACGTATGCCTGAAGTATAAGAATGATAGAGGCCGTCTGTTGACTTCTCTCTTTGACTCAAGTTTGAAGGCAAAGAAGGACTTACGAGTAGCGGAAAAATAGGAGCTTGGCTTGCATCGCCACAAGGTGGACGGTGAGGGTCATGCCTGTGGTTGGTCATTGCTTGGACACTGGGTCATGGAGGAAATAGTAAACACGGAATGGAAAAGAAATTAGAGTTAGAATTCCGATTGGTAACCTTAGCACATGATATCAATCAGCATCTCAAGCCACAGAAGTGTGAGCGGTGGCTTTTCAATGGAATAGTCAGTAATGAATGAATAAATGAGTTAGTCGCAATTGATAGTTAATGCGACATCACAATGTATAACATCAGACAGATGGTGCTATACTGCCACTTAGCTCAGTGAGGCTACCCCATGGTGCCATTCATGTTAGGTTAGATGAAATTAGCTCATCGGCATAAATCATTGTTGTATGAATGTCGAACAAGTAGTTTGGTGGAGTTTTATAGCACCGAAGTTTTACATTCACGTGGAAGGAGAACAAATTGGTTTTCCAAACTCGTGGATTAGCAAATATATTTATCGACTGGGTAACCTCAGTTGTCACTACTTACAATATCAAAACGACTGATCCATTACAGGATCGTGCCCGTGCATGTTGACCACTTCTGGTAATTATGCTATGCATAATCAAACGAAACAAGCACATTCGCCTTTATTTGATTGCAACAATATAGTGATTGGAGACCATAGAGTGTTTTGAGACTGCATCAGTTTGTGTAGAGTAAAACGAGATATGATCTACATGGTAAATGGTGAAGAACGGACACCATTAACCACGACGAGTTAAATCCATAATTGCATAAAACAATGATCATGGAATCTACCCAAACAACATCTTGAATTTCTACAGGTACTATTCGTCACAGTTGGAGAAAACAGTTAAATAGTACTCTGTCTTCTATAAATAGCTATTAAATAGCTACATATATTTCCAAAAACCGTCTTCAAATGTCAAACTTCAACCCTTTATCAAAAGACACAGGTTGTCTATACATTTAATCAGTTTTCCTCATTTTTATGTAAATTCAATTGAGAACTCGGTAACAAACTTACCAAATTACAAATTTCAGCTGAATAATTTCGATATAAATCGGAACTAGGATCCAATAAACTGTCATTCCACTCCAAAGACTTGTTCAATCTAGTCAGCATTGATGAGACTGCTACAAAAGAAATTAAATAGTTTCCAACAAGTCAAAGTCCGTTGATTTAAATCCGACTTCTCAGTGAAAGGAGAATATTGAGTTGACTTACTGTTGCACAACAAAACAAAACTGAACGACCTCTCTTCAACTCCACACCACAAATCCAAGTGTATTCGATTATGATCTATCAAAGTGATGGACACTATGAAGTAAATGGTTGTTTGATTTCCCACATCCATGCACACTGAATGCTATATGCTCTTGGTTTGTTATGAAAATAAAGAATTCTGCACCAAGTAGTAATGTCTACCCACACACATTGGTTAATAAGTGTAACAATATTGTGAGTGAAGTGACGCTCAGCAAACAAATATAACGTGACTTCCACAGTTACAGTAAATTTCAGTACTTGTTGGCTTTTATACGAATACAATTAAATTGTTCCACTTGGAAAGATTATGAATCATTCCGGTTTAACGTAGATAGTGGCCAACGCGACCAGACGACCCTGAGAAACTCAACAATAAATACTGATTGACAAATAATTTCAATATATGAGCGTACTATATGTGACATCTCTTCGCTACACTGAATTTCCAAGAGGAACAATTCACCCAACCGTTTATGTAATGCAATGTGACCACATATTGATGAATGAAATGGAAAGGAGAATCAAAACAATCAATAAGGAAAATAAATTGGTGTGACAAAACAAACTGCTATATCATATTTTGACTTACCGATTACTACTGTTTTCGTGAGGTTGCCTTCTATAAAACATTTAAGTAGATAACGAAGAAAATTTTCATTAAAAGAACACATGGAGTTTGGTTACATGCAATGCAGATAGACAAGCAGAAACACAAACACAAAACATTGGAGAAAGGAACTTGAATTTAGATAAGCACACAAATGATGAAAACGTGAATTCAGGAGTAAACAATTTGGAGTGAATAGAAGGTCAAATCACTGAATGCCTCAATCAGGTCACTTCACATAATCTACTGCTCACATCAGGTCTGTTTCTAATGATTTCCAATTTTCTAATCGCTTCTGTAGATTCGCCTTTGCATTCAACATATTTCTGTATACGACCTGAATTAAACATATTTCACCAGCCAGTTTGTCATCACATTAATGTGTCTCTTCATTATTATATGACGGTGTAATAAACTAGATTAGATCACCTTGTCAGTCAATCATCATCAACCAAAACCTTGCAGCAAATGTGTCGTGGCACAATTTGCGATATGATATTGGTACAATCTGATATATTGAAGAATTTGAATTCCAACATAAATAACAATCAAGCAATAATAGTGATGACGAGAACAACAGTAGCAAACTACATTAACGTTCCCGACTTAGACAACAATGTAGCTAAACTTGCAGCAAGAAAATCGTAAATATATAACACTGATGTCGAATTAATTTCAAACAGTTCAATAGACAACAGCAGTTCGAAAACTTAGATGAAGTGTGCGTAAGACGTATTAATAGAAAAACAGAAAATAATATCATGAGAGTGTCGTCCTTGAAAAAATCAAAGAATGAGTGTAATAACAGGGCAAAAATGACGCGGAGAAAATGGAACAAACTCACATAAAGCAGCAAAATTTTACGTTATTGAAAAATCAAAGAATTATGCAACGAGTTTCGACTGTCATAACGTAAATGAAATGTTCATAAAATTACACTTTGATGGGGAGTGTGATATGATTGCTTAAATGTCATGATCTAATATCAGCACAAACAGCAATAATAATTCCACGTTAGGTGGTGGTGTGACATTAATGTGATAATGATAATATGATAATTATTATAATCATAATGGAACGATGCGCTAAACAGTTCATTGAGCAGAGGTGACACGAGGACAAAGTGTCAATAAGGTCATACGACTTGATCATATCCATGTCCCCACCGTACCGGCTTCGCCGAATGTGTCGGATTAGAGATTGAGTAGTTTGAGTGTCTCTTAGACCAATTCAGTTACTTAGTTTGATTAACGGATGCGTAGAGTTCGAGACGATCATCGTCCGACTAGTTTGCCAGGTTGCGTTAGGTTCGGAGTCGGGCCTACCACTTTAGTGGTGCTGTGATCTCTCTCCGATTTGCTCGTATGGTCGAAAACTGTGTTGTTTATCGATTGAGCAAGCTACGTTGAGTTCGTGCATTGAAAGTATGGAGTGTAGAGGGTTCATCATCGACGTAGTTTGGCTGCGTTAGGTTCGTCGTCGTGCTGGTCACGTTGAGTGGCCCTTCATTTTGACGACAACTAGATCGGACGATGTTGTTATCGACGAGCTCACCACTTTTGGTGGCCTGATATCTGACTCCAATTATATCGTGTGATGATTGTCATCGAAATATACATACCGCCAACCCTCGTATATTATCATCGAATTAACTCGCGTTAGTGAATAACCGAGTTTGATGAGTCAAATACGAAAACGAGTTTTAAGTATGTATGTTTCGTACAATCATTGATCCAGACAAATGATCAGAGAAACGAAGCGAAGAAAGTGAAGAGGAGAGAGCGAGACGAAACGAAATGATGCGCAGCGGACAAGGTGAATGAGACAACTCGCTTGAACCAAGCGTCAATCGATATTTAAAGTCCAACGAAAATAGAATACAGATCGATGAAGAATAGGATCAGCGAATAACAAACATAGTAACAAATAAAAACAATCAGGTTAATAGACAAACAAGTGAACTGGACAAATGGGCTCGAAAAGAATAAACAAAATGATCTAAACTAAGGAGCGTAATGCATATCCGAAGAAGAAAACCAAGCACGACAAACAAAACACTGACAGAAAGTAAGAAAACATACAAGCGAGGCGATGGAGGCACAGAACAGAAGCATAAAAAAACCAGCAAGAAATAATCAAAGAGCCGGTGGAAGTACAGAAAAATATTCAAAACGAGAACGAGATATATTCTAGTAGAAAACACGCAATCCACCAAATCACCAGTAGTATCAGTTCTGTGCACAACTAACTCAAACACATCTCACACAAACAACACTGAGTACATTGCATACACACAATCAACTAACACACTCACCTGTTGAAATCTCCGTCAACATAACCTCAGTTCCCGTAGTGTCGGTCTCCGTAATCTCGGTCTCCGTCGTCACTTCGTTCGTGCCAGTAGTGGTCTCAGCTACAATGGACGAAATCCAACACCAATAATTATTCAAACAATCAATCAATCAATCAATCAATCAATCAATCAATCCATCAATCATCACATCAGTCCTTCAATCAATCAGTCGATCATTCAATAAATCAACAAATCAACAAATCAATCAATCCATCGATCAATCTGTCAAATAGATTAAACCTTCAACAATCCAAACATTCGTCCAACCACTCCTACAAACACTCGTACAAACACTCGCACAACCACTCATCAAAACATTCATCCAATCAGTCTCCCATGCATTCTCTCCATCAACAATTCAATCCACTTGTCCAACTACTAAGTCAACACAACACACATGATCATTCACAGACACACAAACACACACAAACACACACACACACTCAAACACTATCTCACACTCTCCTTCCCAAACACACTCACTCACTCACTCACGAAATCACTCACGCACTCACTGACTCAATCAGTCAATCAATCAACCAATCAATAAATCAGACAATCCCACAGTATCTCTCCAACACACACACACACACACACACGAACACAAATTAGTTCACATCCATCCAATCGAGTGCACTACATGCAATCCACCAAATCACCACTAGTATCAGTTCTGTGCACAACTAACTCAAACACATCTCACACAAACAACACTGCGTACATTGCATACACACAATCAACTAACACACTCACCTGTTGAAATCTCCGTCAACATAACCTCAGTTCCCGTAGTGTCGGTCTCCGTAATCTCGGTCTCCGTCGTCACTTCGTTCGTGCCAGTAGTGGTCTCAGCTACAATGGACGAAATCCAACACGTTTAATTAATTTATTAATCACTCAATTAATCCATCAATCAATCATTACGTCAATCATTCCATCAATCACTCCATCTTTGAATCATACCTCCATACGATCACACAATAATTCTTTGGAACGACATTTTCACGAATGCGTACTTTCTTGTCTTTTGTGATTTGATTATTTTTATTTTTTTTATTTTGCTGTACTTTCGCTCTTTTTCTTGTTTTAATTTTTCTCTGATTTGTCAGTTCGTTTCTTTCATGTTTCTGTTTTCTTGTTTCTATGTTTTCGCAAATTTTCGTGTCTTTGAATTCAGTACACTTTTATTCACCTTCAGAATTGTTAATGTTTTCAAAATAGTTCAGCGATTTATCGAACTTCATTTTCTCTCGATGTTTCTATCTACAGTTTCTTCCTTACATGTAAATCACACGGTCACATTTTCATTTTCAATTGATGTTTCGTCAATTCAGTGATTGTTCTACTATTTACCATTTGTTTTTATTCTTTGGTTGTTGATCCTCACTATTTCTGATTTTACATTTGAAGCAATCTCCTTGTACTTTCGACATAAAAGCAGATAATGAGGAACGCGAACTTGATTATGGATGAATTTCCATTACTGCCCGAAATGTCGTTTATCTACTTGAAGTAATTTAGCGTTTGTTAATTTCTTCCACGTGAAGCATAACTCGCTGCTTTCACTATGTGTTTTCATACATACACATCATCTTAATTCGTTCTTAATATAACTATTCGATTTATCAATCGTTCTTATCTACTTTTTTAAATGTACTGCCTTACATTCCGACACCCTGATTACTCGTGACATCTTTAATTTTATGTCATATGGGGACCTTACACATACTTCAAACATTTCTGCGTTGTCGCGAATACTGATATATAATATTTCGGATTTTTCTAACTAATTTACTGTCACTCCATATTCTTTTATCTGAGGAAGATTATCTCAATAATACTTCAGTCAAAATTACTGGTCGAAGAATCAACTCACAAAAGTGAATATTCAGAGTATTTTACTCATACAATTTGCAATCTTAAGACATAAGTTCTCGCGTATATTATAGACTCAGTGAAAAAATTGCAAACCACTTACTTACCCGTAGTCTTGTTATCTTCGGTATTCTGAGATTCAGTGATCACCTCAGTGGTTGCCACATGGATTACAGCTGAAAATACAATGAGAAACGTGTATCTATTTACGTCACAAAAAGCTGAGTATACATGACAATTAATCCTGATTATGATTAGCTGCTAGCCATAGCAGGCGACTAGGTATTTGACAGTAAATGAAGTCGAGACACTTTCGCTGCAGATGGTTTGCAAGTGATGGAGTTGTTTTTCAAACTTGTGAACAATTCCATTTCCTCGTTGATCGAACACTGAACATTCCATTTCGTCGTGTGTTGTGATCTCACCAACTGTAAGACTCTTTAAAATGTAAACGGAATTCTATATCAAACAGCATATATGGAAAAGTCCTATACAAGTGACTGAGGATAAGACAGATTTCTATTGTCTCTCTAGAACAACAAATTTGAAATAGGACCAAACAGTTTCATGAACTAAATTTAAGAGCATCTAATAGATGATCACATCATACATGCATGCTAATTGTTATGCAGGTGATATTTAACGTGAGAAATAATCAGTTGAATCCTACAACGTTCGCTTCCGGTGTCGGATTCCCCTATCATCAACTTCCAAGATGCATTGAGAACGTGGCGCTCAACTCGCAGGATAAACTGGTTTATTCAACCGACGTTAAACACAAAATTCAATTTCAATATAGCTCGAAAATATCACATACACTCACTTTCTACTGTCAAGCCACTTGATGTATCGAAGTACACTTGCTCCGAATCGTTGGCAACCATTTCTGCTATGTATGCCACAACAGCATTTCGAACAGTGTCTTTTGTCACTTCAGTCGATGAGAAATTCCCACTTGTGCTACTATGGTCGATGACTAATACTGCATTTCCAACAACTGATCCACGCGAGAAGCCAACAACTGTGCAATTGACATTGATTATTCCCTCAATATAAGTTGAATATATGCTGTCCAAAAGCTTGAAGATTTTGTGAGAAGAAAATCGTGCGTGTTATAACGGGATGAATATTGTAAAAGTTGGAAATTTGGAAAATGGTTTTCGAATCGTTATCATGAATATTGTTATTGCTATCAACTATGTTTTTCTTATATAATTACTAAGCAACTGGATTACTGTGTCTATATAATACGTTAACCACAAGCTTTTGGTTAACCCGTTAACCACTGATAGACAACTCTCCACTCCCAGATTTTTGCCAGTCTACTACTTACGGCTTGCATTATTCACAAACACTTTCGGCTTGTCTATGTATGCTTGTGATTTTTCACTCAGTGGTGCGATGTGGTCCAGCACGACTGTGTATGAGTCCACGTATGCCTGAAGTATAAGAATGATAGAGGCCGTCTGTTGACTTCTCTCTTTGACTCAAGTTTGAAGGCAAAGAAGGACTTACGAGTAGCGGAAAAATAGGAGCTTGGCTTGCATCGCCACAAGGTGGACGGTGAGGGTCATGCCTGTGGTTGGTCATTGCTTGGACACTGGGTCATGGAGGAAATAGTAAACACGGAATGGAAAAGAAATTAGAGTTAGAATTCCGATTGGTAACCTTAGCACATGATATCAATCAGCATCTCAAGCCACAGAAGTGTGAGCGGTGGCTTTTCAATGGAATAGTCAGTAATGAATGAATAAATGAGTTAGTCGCAATTGATAGTTAATGCGACATCACAATGTATAACATCAGGCAGATGGTGCTATACTGCCACTTAGCTCAGTGAGGCTACCCCATGGTGCCATTCATGTTAGGTTAGATGAAATTAGCTCATCGGCATAAATCATTGTTGTATGAATGTCGAACAAGTAGTTTGGTGGAGTTTTATAGCACCGAAGTTTTACATTCACGTGGAAGGAGAACAAATTGGTTTTCCAAACTCGTGGATTAGCAAATATATTTATCGACTGGGTAACCTCAGTTGTCACTACTTACAATATCAAAACGACTGATCCATTACAGGATCGTGCCCGTGCATGTTGACCACTTCTGGTAATTATGCTATGCATAATCAAACGAAACAAGCACATTCGCCTTTATTTGATTGCAACAATATAGTGATTGGAGACCATAGAGTGTTTTGAGACTGCATCAGTTTGTGTAGAGTAAAACGAGATATGATCTACATGGTAAATGGTGAAGAACGGACACCATTAACCACGACGAGTTAAATCCATAATTGCATAAAACAATGATCATGGAATCTACCCAAACAACATCTTGAATTTCTACAGGTACTATTCGTCACAGTTGGAGAAAACAGTTAAATAGTACTCTGTCTTCTATAAATAGCTATTAAATAGCTACATATATTTCCAAAAACCGTCTTCAAATGTCAAACTTCAACCCTTTATCAAAAGACACAGGTTGTCTATACATTTAATCAGTTTTCCTCATTTTTATGTAAATTCAATTGAGAACTCGGTAACAAACTTACCAAATTACAAATTTCAGCTGAATAATTTCGATATAAATCGGAACTAGGATCCAATAAACTGTCATTCCACTCCAAAGACTTGTTCAATCTAGTCAGCATTGATGAGACTGCTACAAAAGAAATTAAATAGTTTCCAACAAGTCAAAGTCGTTGATTTAAATCCGACTTCTCAGTGAAAGGAGAATATTGAGTTGACTTACTGTTGCACAACAAAACAAAACTGAACGACCTCTCTTCAACTCCACACCACAAATCCAAGTGTATTCGATTATGATCTATCAAAGTGATGGACACTATGAAGTAAATGGTTGTTTGATTTCCCACATCCATGCACACTGAATGCTATATGCTCTTGGTTTGTTATGAAAATAAAGAATTCTGCACCAAGTAGTAATGTCTACCCACACACATTGGTTAATAAGTGTAACAATATTGTGAGTGAAGTGACGCTCAGCAAACAAATATAACGTGACTTCCACAGTTACAGTAAATTTCAGTACTTGTTGGCTTTTATACGAATACAATTAAATTGTTCCACTTGGAAAGATTATGAATCATTCCGGTTTAACGTAGATAGTGGCCAACGCGACCAGACGACCCTGAGAAACTCAACAATAAATACTGATTGACAAATAATTTCAATATATGAGCGTACTATATGTGACATCTCTTCGCTACACTGAATTTCCAAGAGGAACAATTCACCCAACCGTTTATGTAATGCAATGTGACCACATATTGATGAATGAAATGGAAAGGAGAATCAAAACAATCAATAAGGAAAATAAATTGGTGTGACAAAACAAACTGCTATATCATATTTTGACTTACCGATTACTACTGTTTTCGTGAGGTTGCCTTCTATAAAACATTTAAGTAGATAACGAAGAAAATTTTCATTAAAAGAACACATGGAGTTTGGTTACATGCAATGCAGATAGACAAGCAGAAACACAAACACAAAACATTGGAGAAAGGAACTTGAATTTAGATAAGCACACAAATGATGAAAACGTGAATTCAGGAGTAAACAATTTGGAGTGAATAGAAGGTCAAATCACTGAATGCCTCAATCAGGTCACTTCACATAATCTACTGCTCACATCAGGTCTGTTTCTAATGATTTCCAATTTTCTAATCGCTTCTGTAGATTCGCCTTTGCATTCAACATATTTCTGTATACGACCTGAATTAAACATATTTCACCAGCCAGTTTGTCATCACATTAATGTGTCTCTTCATTATTATATGACGGTGTAATAAACTAGATTAGATCACCTTGTCAGTCAATCATCATCAACCAAAACCTTGCAGCAAATGTGTCGTGGCACAATTTGCGATATGATATTGGTACAATCTGATATATTGAAGAATTTGAATTCCAACATAAATAACAATCAAGCAATAATAGTGATGACGAGAACAA